GGGGAGATGGCTCAGTAGAATAAGCGCTTGCCTGGCAAGCGCAAGGGCCTGAGTTCAATCCCTGGTTCTGCCAAAAAAAAAAAAAAAAAAAAAAAAAAGTAAGCAGAGAAGAGAAACCAGATAGATAACAATGTCTTTGTGTTGAGATTGCAGCTATCTTAAATGATGCTATACAAGAATATTGCCAGGGATATTAGGAATGGTCCTTTGTTTTGTTTTTTAACAGTTAATATTAGGATATATTTTATGTACTATCAATAGCAGTCTAATGATAGTGGCAAAAAAGAAAGCTCATGCAGTGGCATCACGATGTGATCCAAATTTTTGTAATAATGAAAGCTATATTGGCATAGCCAAAGCAATCTACCTAAAATATATTTTCCCTTTTTTCTTTTTTGTGCAGTGCCTAGGGATTGAATCCATGGCCTCATGCATGTTAGGCAGATGCTCTCCTTCTGGGCTGCATCCCTATAACTCAGTGGACTAAAGTGCCTGCTTAGGCAGATGCAGGGACCTGGGCAAGCCATGCAGGCCCTGCCCCTGGGGCGCAAGATAGAGACTGGGCATGGTGGCACAGGTCTGTAATCCCAGTGCGTGGGAGGCAGAAAACAGGATTACTATGAGTCTGATCTGTGTAGTGAGATCCTGTACTAAAATACGTTAAAAAAAAAAAAAAAAAAAGTCTCGCTATGAAGTTCAGGCTGGCCTTGAGCTCACTTTGTAGCCCAGGCTGGTCTCGAATTTACCACAATCGTCCTGCCTCAGCCTCCTGAGTGGTGGGATTGCAGGCTTGTGCCACAGTTCCAGACGTGTGAATTACTTTTGTAGGAAGGAAGAAATTACAGGAGCTTGGGGTTGTGTGTTTCTGGGCCCTTTGGGGAAGCTTGAAGGCCATATCAGTATCTAATGTGGTTATTGTCTCCTGCTCCGACTTCACTGTTACTGCTCCCTGTGTCACTTTGTACACCCCAGCAACACAAACTATATGTGCATCCTGTTCCTTTTATACCTTTTTTTTTTTTTTTTTTAATGGAGATCGAATCCAGGGCCTTTGTACTGACCTACATTTCCAGCCCTTTTTAATTTTTTTTATTTATTGTATTTTATTTTTTTAATATATTTTAGTACAGGGTCTACAGGGTCTCACTATGTAGATCAGACTCAGTGATTCTCCTGTTTTCAGCCTTCCAAGTGCCGGGATTATAGGCACTCGCCACCACACCCAGTCTCAATTGCTGTCTCAGCGCACCCTGGGGGCAGGGCCACCTGGGCACACCGGGATCAAGCCACAGCCGCTGAGCTCTGCCTAAGCTGGCACTTTAGTCTGATGAGCTATGTGGCCGGACCTCCTTTTTAATTTTTTTTATCTTGATGTGGGATCTTCCTAAGTCTTCTGGACCGGGCTGACAATTGCAGCCCTTCTGCTTCAGCCTCCCAGACTGCTGGGATTAAAGGCATGTGCCACCACACCTGACATTTGCCTCCATACTTACGGGCTGTCTGGAGGGTCTTAGCCTCTTGCCCCACTCATCGTGCTGTCACCTGCTCAGGGAACTTTCCCCTGAGTCCTCAGTCCATGTGGGCGCCTCTAAGACTTCTGCCTTCACTCTGACTTGGCTGTGGCAGAGTATTTCACTTTGGAGAACTGGATGGAGCAACTTGGTTTTTCTCTTTTAATCTGTATCAAGATGCTAGTGCCTTCCTGAATGTTTCTGCTTTGTCCACTTTCATTGGAACG